TGTTATTGCACATGTGTGGATGTGTGTGTTTGTTCAGTTAAAGTCTTTGTTGTGGAGTCTGACAGCAGTGGGGAGGAAAGACCTGCGAAATCTCTCCGTCCCACACCATGGGTGCCGCAGTCTCCCACTGAAGGAGCTGCTCAGTGCTGTCACAGTCTGATGAGAGAGAAACTCCAGCTTTTATCTCATTTGATTGGAATTTTAATTCTTAGGTGTGTGTTTTTTTTATTTATTTATTTAGTATACAAGATTAATCAGTAATAACTAATTAACTTGTTACAGTGTTATGCAGATTTCAGTGTCTGTAGAGTCAGTGACTTCATGACTGATTTGGTGTCATCACAGTGTTTTGGTGTCCCTTCGATTCCCTTGGGCTGCTGTCTGAGCAGAGCTAATTACTCTCCGCTCAGCTCGTTCAAATGACAAACTGCAGAAATTTTAGACTTTTTTGAAATAGAAGTAATCCCACCACTTTCAAGAGCCTCTTCAGTTTATTAGCACTGTTTATCCTCTCTGGTGATTTGCTGGAGAAGACACTTGATTTATTGAGAGTTTCAGAAATCCAGAGAGGACACAGGCAGTTTTTCCTCTTCATGTATTTCTGGTGAGAGCGGTGGGTGTGGGGAGTATTACAAATGACTCTTCCAAAGCAATAAAGTGTGAACAGCGTCGGAAACCAAGCGGTGAGTATCAGTAAGCTGCCTGTCACTGTTTGTTACAGATTGGAGTCTGAACAAAAGCGTCCCGTCCAATTTGTCATGTGATGGCAAATCTCAGCAGCTAAAATCAGTCTGTACCTCCAACGAGGGCAAGCTGAAACATCTTCTTTCTTGTTTTTTTTAAAATATATTGCCTGTGGAGGATCATCAGGACCTGGCGACCTGATGTTCCTCTCCCATGCCCCAAGATTTAACCTGTGATGCAGATCCTACGACTTAGTTTTATGTCTGGGCCTCTAATCAGCCATGTGGTATTTGGACCTCCCAGCCAGGCCCCGGCCATGTCACACAGCATTATCATGGCACACTGAGGCCCCGTCTGAAGCGCCTTCTTGTCAGTGTCAGTAGGCTAATTTCAAACAATTACACAGGAGCTCTCCCTCCCTGTTGTCGTGTTCTCTCAGCGTCCTCCTTATTAACTTTGTTAGGCACGCTCAACTTATCTGCTGGACCCAGACACCCACATACTGATATCACTGTGTGTGCTTGGCAGAGCTGGGAGCTTCTTTTTTTTTTCTAGTGCTACTGTGATACTTGAGTTTCATTAGTCTTACTGACTTTGTTTTAACACATTTAACGTATTTAGAGGAATCCCTTATAGGTTAAATTAATTAGAATTTTCATAAGTGAATGAATTAATTCATTGCCATCAATGATATAATATAAAATATGATAACATATCTAACATTGTGTTGTTAACCCACACAGGCAGAAAAGGAGCTTGAAACAATGTCAAGAATGCTTTTTTAAAAATGTAATTTATCAGATGAAAACATCAAGTTTGCTTCTTTAAATTACATTTTTTAATAGGGGGGGAAATAAATTGTCTTTATTTTAACAGCTGTGTACCTGAATGCTGTTTCCTATATTTATTTCTCTTACGTAGCAGAAATGTACTATCTTAGATGGAGCTTGAAGGCTGTTTTTAAATATTTATTTGAAGTGCACACTGATGGCTCTAAATGATTATACATTTTAAGTGGCTTGTTCTTGTAAAAATAGGCTTTCATATATTTAGTTTGGCCCTGATTTCTGTCTGCAGGTGTTCCTCTCAGCTGTGATGCTGAGATCATCCTGCATTTAATTCAGCAGGTGAAAAGTTTTTCTTTTGACTTTGAGGTAAAAGCATCAGGGTTGACCTCTTAACATTTAGGAAACTTAAGCTTATGGATGTGATCAGTAGTTGCAGTTCTAAACACGTCACAAGTCCTTCTTTTGTGAGAATCACTGTGAGAGCATTCGTGTGGGGCGATCGTGGCTTAACAGTCGGCAGTTCGTCTTTTAATAGGAAGGTTGCCGGTTCGAGCCCCGGCTCGGACAGTCTCGTCGTCGGGCAAGACACTTCACCCGTTGTCTACTGGTGGTGGTCAGAGGGCCCGGTGGCCCCAGTGTCCGGCAGCCTCGCCTCTGTCAGTGCGCCCCAGGGTGGCTGTGGCTACAATGTAGCTTGCCAGTGTGTGAATGACTGAATGTAGTGTAAAGCACTTTGGGGTCCTTAGGGACTAAGTAAAGCGCTATACAAATACAGGCCATTTACCATGTGTGTTACAAGTCCTTGGCAGGGGTTAGATGCAACACACACCCTTTCCCCACCTGAGCCTTTGATCCTGCTCGGATCTTTCATCAGATACATGCAGAAGGAGATAAGAGCCCCTTATCAGGGCACTGCTGGTAAATGTTAGCTGTTTATCCATCTTGGAGATGACGTATTTTTTTCATGCTTTGAATAAAAGCCTATAGCAGACAGCAACAGACACGGGTGTAACAGGTAGCAGTGGCAGCCAAACATTTAAAGGGTTTTTAGATTTGTTACTGTAACTGTGGCATCAGTGAGGTTTATTAGGAATGGAGAGAAGCATATCTGCAACTTTTTTTAATGCTGGTCTTTTGACCCTGTCTGGATTAATTGCTATCCTACCATCTGCAGTTTCTGGGAAAATACATAGAAATTTTGGTGCATGTGGATTGATCATGTATCGTATATATCGTACCGTATATGCAGTAGGCGGCTGACTGATCCACTCTCAACAATGGGGAACAATAACAATTCTCAATTATAAATGATGTTACTGAATGCATTTGTGGCAGATGTGTAAATGTCAATCGTTTTAGGGGCTAAAAAATAAAAAATAAAGCTGATGCAGAAGTGTCAAAAATGCAGTCTGAGGATTCCCCACAGACTGTAATATGAAAAATCCGAGATTTAAAGAGTAAAAATATTTACAGCCCAGTGCAAAAAAAGGAAATTTAATTAAAGATATGCAGAGAAATTTTTAAAATAAACTCAACTCTTCAAATTGTATTGAGAATAAAGGGCATTTCCAGTATTACTCATCTTTGACAGGTGTTTACTTGTTTGTGCTGAGCATTTGATTATATTAAAGGAAACTAAGGACAATTTCATTTTCACCAATCAGTAAATTTTATTTTACAGTAAGCCTGTTTTTCCACTAGCCAATATTGGCGTCTTATTTGTTATTACAGTGAATTACAGCTGTGCCTTGCTAAACTAGCTAGTTTACCAGCACTAGTGTTAACTGACAAATGAGAGACTCCCACAAATAGCTGAAATCAACAAGGTTTTTGGCTCCTGTTTACCGGTATTTAGATAAAAACTGAGTAATTAAACTTTTTTTCTTTGCATAATAAAAAAATAATTCTCTCTGTGAAGGTAGCCGTGAGGTGGCCTTTGTCTACGCTATCTCCTCAGCTGGAGTGGTTTACACACTGGCCCAAGCCTGCAGCCAAGGTGAGTTGGATTCTTGCTCCTGTGATCCCACCAAGAAGGGCTCATCACAGGATGCCAAAGGCTCCTTCAACTGGGGAGGCTGTAGTGACCATGTGGAGCATGCCATACGCTTCAGCCAAGCCTTCGTGGATGCCAAGGAGAGGAAGGAGAGGGATGCCCGTGCACTCATGAACCTGCACAACAACAGAGCTGGCAGGAAGGTGAGGAAGCACTGAATGGATAACTGACTTTAAAGTCCTTCGGTTTTACCGGAGACACTAAAATTACATAACTTTTACATTTTCATCCAACATTTTAAGAATCTCAGAAATAGAAACACATTGATAAAACGCTGAAAATGAATTTGACTGTTTTTAGATCTACATAACATCATTACATTTGTATCTTGGGCTTTAAAATCTTAAATTAGTACCATTCACTCACCAGTTCTACTAAATCTGTTTACTGTTGTGCTCCCCAGGCTGTGAAGCGCTTCATGACACTGGAGTGTAAATGTCATGGTGTCAGTGGGTCATGCAGCATCAGGACCTGCTGGTTGGCCATGGCTGACTTCCGCCGCACAGGTGACCATCTACGGAAAAGGTACAACGGTGCCGTGCAGGTTGCAGTGAATCAGTATGGCACAGGCTTTACGGCCGCTCACACACACTTCAAACGTCCCAGCAAGAATGACCTCGTCTACTTGGAGGACTCACCAGACTACTGCATACGGGACCACGAGTCAGGTAAACACTGACCTTTACCATTTGGATCTGTTGGATCCCAGTAAGCAGTGAGTGGAAAACGTACCTGTCAAAGACACATAAACATCCAGTTCAGACCATTTAGAGGTTTGTTTAATCACTTCCAAATTACATGCTGAAAAATGTTGATTTGTAATCTGGTCAAACAAGCCTAAATGCTCTAATTTACTCAATTTAATAAACCAGATCAAAACCAGAGTAAATACTCTGGAACTTAAGTGCATCACTTGAACAGCACAGCTGGTTGGTATCCTTAAAAGAGGAGGTGGTGTGAACAGATTTTCATATGCTTGATTTCAAGAAGCTGATTGAACTGCATCTCTAAAACACTTCCACTTTGCTGGCATCTCAAACGTGTCCATCTTCTACTTTTACTGTCACCATTGTGTACCAGAACGTGTTAAAGTGGCTTTTTTGTTTTGTTTTGGGGTTTTTTCCCATGACTTTTCTGGGACCAAAGCACGCACACCTAACAAACCCACCTCCACCCGCACCTGTAGTCCCAGTGGACCACTGTTCACACCATCACACTGATCACACTGGATCGAATGGTGCATTTGATCCAGTTGGAAGTTAGAAATTTGAAAGCTGGCAATTCCAGCTTTCAGAATGCGTGAAACATGCATTACTCACACTGCCAAGTCTAAACAGTCCACACTGGTGAGTGTGAAAAAGCACTCTTCTTTTGGCAGGCAACTTCTTGCCATGTCAGCAGTACCATACATGTACTGACAAAAACACACTTTGAGTCTTTCATACACAATATACAGCCGAGGACTGTTAAGCATCACGTGTTTCATAGACCCGCTGTCTGTGTCAAGCAGTCACTGGGATGTCAACCATTGGTTTTGAAGTCTGCTTCAGTGTTAGGTTTTTGGCTACTGCCATGTTAACAGCTAACTCTAATTAGTACACTGAGTAACAGACTAGCAGTTTTCCATAATTGTAGTGTAACTTGCTACAACTGAAAACAGATTTCTTGGGTGGGCTGCACCGCACGGCAGACCTTATTATTTGTCAGATAATTCCATTGCAAATACTCCAGAATGAGCCTCTTCACCGTGTTAGTGCTCCAAAGGCACAAACGGGCTGTAAACATGTTTATTTCTGTTGGTCATTTTAACACGGCGAGTCTATGAGCACGGATTACTTTTGGAGCCAGATTCAGAGGATCTTCTGTTTTTTGCAGTTTAGGAATATTTTTCAGCCACCGAGGCTGTTAGTGAATGTTTCAAAGTGCAAAAATGTTATTTTGCTGTCCTGTTTCTCAAAACTTCAAGGAAGCAAAAAATGTTTTTTCCTTTGCCGTTCAGATTTGAAGAAGCGTCCACACTGAAAACTGATCTTTAACTTTAGATGACATAAAATGTAGTTGTGTTTCAGCAACTACGGTGGCTCTGGGTGTGTGTGTCATAAGCGTGTTCGTGTGAGGGCAATGTAAAGCTACAACAGCAGAGCAAGCGTGAGAAAGAAAATGTTTGCGTTTGAAAAGCTTATGAGAGAATGAAGATAAAGGCCATGAGAGAGTGTCTTGAGGTGGAGGTGAATGCCTGACAGGCGGCAGATGATCCGTGGCGATCGGGTGTCAGCCAGTTTAAGACCCATTACACACTTCTGTAGGCTGAAATCTTAGAGGACTACACATCATTATAAATCACCAGTGCTGGAGAAACACACGCACACGCACGCGCACGCACACACACACACACCTGAGGGCATGATTGGCCTGCAAAATGGGAGAGATTTCAGTGGCAGAGCACCAAACACACACATTTTAGAGGTGTGTGTGTGTGTGTGTGTGTGTGTGTGTGTGTGTGTGTGTGTGTGTGTGTGTGTGTGTGTGCGCTGAAATACTCCACCCAGACATAATTTCTTTCTTTTTTACAATTTAATCATTCATTGAGAAATTTAGAAGTGAGAGACTTCCTGGGAGGTAGGAGCAGTGAATATTCTCATGAGCAGAAACATAATTTTTTAATCTCACTAAATCGTGAAAGTTTTTTTTTCTGTTATTTTTGTTGTGTTATTTGTTTTGGGGTTTTTTTGCTTTCTGTTAGTGACTGATGTTAGCTGTAACTTTCACCACCATGTGGCACTGTTTTTGAATGAGTGCTGTTGTTTTATCCATTTCCTCAGAAAGCTTGGCCTTTGCTGCCGCTGTAAATACGAGAGTGTTTTTGTTAACTTGGGCGGCTGAATCTCTACACTATTGGTGGACAAATTGGTGTTACACAAATGTCCAGCCGTGCTGTAGTGATTATTGTAAAACAGCTCAGTACATCTGTGTGCTGTATTTCAGCCCAGTGGTAGTTTTGAAAGTTTTAAGCTTTTTAAGTGCCCTTAAAGATTTTCACTCAATTCACATGAAACCACCCAACCTAGAAAAATAAAACAATAGTAATAAAAACAGTTTTGTGATGCTATAGCACAGTGACATACCTATTCCATTATTATTTCTGACTAATGGGATCTGCCATTACAGATTTTTGCAGATTCCAAAGAACTATAATTGACAGCATATACTAAGAAAAATGAACTTTTATCATAAAATATAATTTCCACCCTCAGAGAAATAATTAAACTGCTGTACATCACATGATCGTCTCTCTTAAATAACTGAAAATAAAGAATAATGAGTTTTACCACAGCAAACAAAAGCAGGTGCAGCAGATTTAGAGAATAAAACAAATGCAAGTGGATGGATGTGACAAACATCTTATTTAAATACATATATGCACAAAATGTTATGAATAAATTATTATTGCATTCTGTCAGTACTTTATATGAACCTGTTATCACTGAAAATCATTCAGAAACTGCTGTCGGATCGCACAGTTTTTGGCTGGTGGGAATTCAGAGAACATGGCACATGTGCGGTTAATTTCTCTCCAGTAGCATACAACACAATAATAACTGCAGCTCATTAACAGCTGTGCAGTCTATCAAGTTTTAAGTTCAGTTTTGGCTTCACAGCTGTTAATAGTACAAGGTAACTGAGTTTCGTATCTCAGTGATGCTTTTGTTTTGGCTTTCAGCTCCTGATTTATGTCTGCCTCTCTCTAACAGATCAAACTCACCCCCGGCTGGGCTGTGATAGTTTTTGTTCACAAGAAGTAAAAAATGAAAACTATGAAGTTGTTCTTCAGAAGATTAGATTTCCTATTGATGCTTATGTGAAACACACAAAAACCTTAGATGGTCTGTAGAACTGTAGATCCTCTGACTGTGCACAGGATCTTCTAGGAATGGTGATTCTGCTTTCCAGAGAATTGATGGGTCAGTGGTTTTGAACATGTTGATATCTTCTCTCAAATATAAGATACTCTTATTAGATCTGTAGTAAAAGTTACAGTGGCAGGGTACTCAAACAAGGCATGAACCACTTTCCTGACATTGAAAACTCAGGTTTAAATCTGAAGTTACTGCACTAAGCACCTAATCCTGCTTTGTCTAAAGGCCCCTGGAGGTCTTAGGCCCTGCTTTTGGGAACAAGTTGAGGCATTACAGCAGACATGGAAGTTTTATGGGATGTGTACATGTAAGCAGGGTGAGGTTACACACACACACACACACACACACACACACACACACACACACACACACACACACACACACAGTGGGCCTCTCATGAGAACGTAACATACGCCTTCTTTAAAGACCAACTCCCATGAGACAACCACAGACTTACAAACTCGCTCTCAATCATAACATGTACTGTATGTAGAGTCACCTGCTCCCTCTTTTTGGTTGCACAACCATGAAAAGTAATCAGCCTTTCTCCCAACACACACACACACACAGACACACACACGTGCACGCGCTCTGAAAGACATGCAAACTCGCCTTCACTCGTGGAAAGAAACAGACTAAATCTGTTCTCACACACAAACCACAAACAGGCTCGGGGCCCACAGAGATAGCGAGACGGCCCCTCTGTGCCTCTTTAAAGTGTGAAATCAATTTCCCTCAGCCCTGAGGCTCAGGTGCTAAACTCATCTCTCGGCGCCCCCTCATCTTAATTCAATAAGCAGACGCAGGGCGATCGAGGGCTGTGAGGAAGACTCTGGCCGTGATGTCACCCCTAGCAGTGCTGCATACTTTGGATGACGGGCGGGCACGCTGCCAGAGAGGGGAGGGCTTCGGGTCATGTCCAGACATATTACCTGGCGAGGGAATGGTGCAGAAGGAGCGTACACGCAGAGCGAAGCAGAATGTAAACACGAGCAAATTCCAGAACAATGTTTGAGATGGTACTTGAAGCCAATTTTTTCTAAACCTTTATTTATACAGGAGAAGTCAGCAGAACACACACATGCATTCTTTTTCAGTAACACTTGTGCTTTACAGTCAGACAGTAACAGTCACACCTGCCCAGCAGAGCAGCAGTCCTCTGCTGGCTGAACATCTGCAGCTCAACAGCACTAAAGTTCAGATGTTTCACAGCAGCTTTATCAAGATGTTGAAGTGAAAAGGCTGCGAGATTAAAAGCTACGAACGACTGCAGCGTTATCGGTTACACCAGAACTACTTTGATCATAAAAAGCTTTTTCTCAAGCTTCACATCAACAAAATCTAGATTGTGGAAACGATCTTTTTTTTTTTTTTAAACCACCAGTAAATGGATCAAACATAAACAATTTCAAAAACAAAAAAGTAAAGTAAATAAAGACTTAAATGCAAGCTGTTTGAACTAGCAAATATATGAGCACCATGTTCTTCAAGGACTTAGTCATCAGTTTGTTGTCACTCTGGCAGACGAGGGTCCTCAGGACGATGTTACTGCCATGCAAAGGTGCACATCCCCTAATGGCTGTGACCTCTTTCAGCACATATCTTATTGTTATAACAGTCTTTTCTACTGTAATATGATCCATCAGGTGCATGTGTATAAATAACCAGTCCAAGATATCTAATATCCCCAGGTTCAGCTCCTGCCAGGACATGGCTCATTCCATATAAAATCAGTCAAATCTGAAAAGATTCATTCATGACTCTCTCAGAATATGCTCTTCATTCTGCTAATAATTAGAATAATCGACACATTTGAAGAAGTCACACAATATTTTAGCCTCTGTCCTGTAGACCTCTGTCAACCTGCATAGGGCTGGGTTGAAATTTGGTACTTTTTCCACTTGATTTTTTTTATATTCTCAAGTAGTGTGTCTTTTTAGTTTATTCAAAGGGGGGGGACAGGTGGGGGGCAGGCAGTGATTTTCCATGGAATGACCTACGTGTCCAAGACAACTCAACTAAGAGGCATCTGGGAGGCATCGTGGTCAGATGGCTAAACAACCTCATCGGGCTCCTTTTGATGCTTCGACGCTGAGGAGCAGCAGCTTGACTCAGTCTCTCCTGAATGACAGTCGTTCAACTCATAAAATGAAGAAAAGACGTGAATGAGAATTCAGAAGGAAAGGCTGATTGCACTTTCACTAATGTGTGTAATTATGCAACAAGATATTGAACAGAATTGTAGAGAAGAGTTGTAAACTGCACATATCTGACAGATATATGGATGCAGCTTCTTCTTGGTAAAGTTTGGGGGGAAGAAAGGCAAAAAACAATATTGTTACACAGAAACATAAATATCTCAGTCAAAAAGAGAGATGAAGTCTTTCTCTCAATACAATACTCAATACTCCCGAACTCCGCAAATCCTAAATGATGTTATTTGGATATTTTGAATAGCATTACCAGCTCTGTGATGACTCATTAAAAAGTCGATATTTTATAAAAGCCAGGCCGTGAGAACCTTGTTACTTGTTACTGCTTCCTGGACGTCTGCTGAGCATGAAATCAAAAACCGTGAAAGAGTATGACTTCAGCGCAGATTGTGTCACAAAAGCGTCCATTCCCATGTGTTTTATTTTGGCTGAAATCATAGGGATGATCCTTTCCCACACCCGGCGCATCTGTGTTTGTTGTGCTGCTATCAAAGAGAAGTTATCTGGAGATCTAGACACTATAACCCAAACGCTCTGCTCACAGCGGTTAGATAGAAACGTGTGAGATTCTGTTGGGCTTGATCATCCAAAGCAGACTGAAAACACTCCTGTTGCTCATGTTTAACATCAGTGGATCAAAGCTGCTGAAACTGCTAAAAAAGTCCCTCTAAAAACTCCTGTGGATGGTTTTGAGTCGAATCTGCAGGCCTACACAGCTTCATCATAAATTGAGCTCCAGCTATTCCTTCTGCATACAAAGCTCGGGTACGCTAACTGTGTTTGTGGCGACGTAAAGTGTGTGTGTGGGTAACTGGAGTTGGGATTCAGGAGAAAGTGAGTGTGTACAGTATCTGTGTGTGTGTGTGTGTGTGGGCGATGGATGTCTCCTGTAAAATGAACAGCTGATGAAGTGTGGGAGTGCAGGCTGATGGCTCCTATCATCAATCTCTCATCTCACTTTCGTTCATCTTACTTATCCCCCCCCCCAATCTCATCTTCACCGTACTGGCATTATACTCTGCTCCTATTGGCTTCTAAAAACTAATAGAACCGTTCTAATTGGCCAAATTGTGGCTCAACTGCTGCCAAGTCACATTCCACGATGCTATAGTCCATTTTTTAAGCATCAGTACCATTACCTTCATGAACACTTTTCCTTTATTCCTTTAGGACGTCCCAGTTATTTCCCAGCAGGGTTGTCACTTCTTAAACTAGAAATCACAGGCAGTGTAGGTGTTAAACTGTTCCATCAGTAAATCTCCTTTTGGAAGGAAACTACTGAAACATGTTTTTGCTTTTAGTGAGTAAAAATGTCATTCAGTGGAAAAACTGCAGTAGGAAGTGATCAGAAAGGCAGATCCTTCTACTGTAGTATGATAGATTAATATACTGGTGAGAAAAACACTTTTCAAGGTAAATACAGACTTTTCCTCATTTTTTTAAGAACCTTTAATTACGAAGTAGACTTAAACTTGGCATTTTACACTATGTAGCGATAAAGCAGAATAAAGTTTACATCTAATGATTATAATTTTGATCATGTCCATGTTTTTAGTTTCAGCGCTCGGGAGCAGCTCCTTGTCTTTCTCTTGACTTATAAGATCACATTTTGTGGTCAACTTGAAAGAAAGGCTGATGTGTAATATAGAAGTGAGGTCAGAGGTCAAATGTGACATTTTAAATCTTTATGCCATTCTTTCTATACGTTGACACAGCACACTTGTAAGAATCATAGTTTCTACAGCTTTTTGTCAGTTTTCTACCAATAAATCAGTGAGTTCACCTTGAAGACTTTGGTGGAAGTATCGTTAACATGTCCCCAGTCTACCTCCCCTAAAAAGTATCAGAGTTGTCAGAATTAATTTAAAACTTTTTTAGCTATCGTGTTTACAGACAGAGTGACATGCACACACTACGCATGCTGTCAGAACGTCCTGTCCGTCGAGGCGTGGACTCCGCTCTTGCCAGGTGGGGCCTCGATGTATCAGACTTGGGTGTCCAGATGAGATCTGAGAAATTTGGAGGCTATGTCAACACCTCATACTCATTGTTGTGCTCCCCAAACCATTCCTGAAACACTGTTAAATGACCGAGGATCCTGCTGAAAGAAGTCACAGCCATTAGGGGGGGGGTACCATCATCTGCAACCGTGCTTAGGCAGGTGGTGTAAGACCCACATGGATGGGAGGACCCAAGGTTTTACAGCAGAACATAGCCCAGAGCGTCACACTGCCGCCACAAGCTTGCCTTCTTCCCATAGTGCATCCTGGTAGCAAGTGTTTCCCAGGTAAGTGACGCATATGGACCCGGCCATTCACATGATGCAAGAGAAAAACCTGAATCATCAGACTGGCAGCCCATCACCCTTTCTCTAGTTTGCCAAAGTTCCTTCCTTGGACCAGTTTTGGTAGATACTGACCACTGCAGACCAGGAACACCCCACCAGAGCCGCAGTTTTGGAGATGTTGTGACCCAGTCGTCTGCCCATCACTTTTTCCTACCTCTAACACGTTAGCTTGGAAGACAAAGTGTGTACACTCTCTACTAAACTAGTGTTCGGTGTTTATGTTCCTTTGATACATTGTCTAGGTTTTGATTTTCCACTGTTAATAACTTATGTTCTCACCATTAGGGTGGGTCCCACAGATCAAAAACTCATTTTAAATTAATAGTCATACTGTGCTAAATTTATTCTCACTGACCGCGTCTCATTTGCTCTCTCTCCAGGGTCGACGGGGACAGGTGGGCGGGTCTGCAACCGGACATCCCGAGGTGTAGATGGCTGCGAAGTGATGTGCTGTGGCCGTGGCTACGACACGTCTCGCATCAGCCGCACAACCAAGTGCGAGTGCAAGTTCCAGTGGTGCTGTGCAGTCCACTGCCGTGACTGCCACCAGCAGGTCGACGTGCACACCTGTAAGGGCCAGACGTGACCTCGCCACCACTAAACTTGACTGACGCCTCATATCGGGCATCCAGAGTCCCCCCCCGTTCCTCCTCAGCTCTACCTGATGTCTTGTTACGACAATCTAACTGATAATCTCGAGTCTGTCTTTAGTTCTGAGCCCTCTGAAGGTCTGTTAGGTTTTCAGACACTTTTTTCTTTTCCTCACCAAAAAAATTCACATCTTTTTCTTCTTTTGGATGCTACGTGGAAAGAACTTCCAGACTCAGAGACATTTAAAGCCTGACTGCTGAATGTCTGTAGCTGTTACTTTGAGAATGTATCAGTCAAATCATGCTTCAGATTCCTGCTGAACCAACACAAAAAATACTATTGAGACTAACAGGCTAGCATTTGATCTGCTGGCTCCAGTTGTGATGGTTTGGAGATGAACTGTTGCTTAAACAGGCCCCAAGGACTGACCAAGTATATACTGAAATATAACTTAAATTATGTGTAATATCTTTTATAGTTTTGTTGAATCAACATGCATGGAGGTGTTTGGTCTGCTCCTGTGAAGCCTTCAACACCTCTAGTTTAACACATAGCAGCTCTCCACACAGTTTATCAGCTTGTTGTTTAGATTTGTTCTCGTGGCACCTTACACTTGTCAGCAAACCATTTACAACATAAAGTACGACCAGCGTTCTTTTCCCCTGCGTGCTTTCAGTGTAAGCTGTTGTCACACCACTCTCATTCAACATAGCGTATCACAAGCTTCTCTCTCGCTTTCTGTCTGCTCATTAGAGGCTTTCTGCTCCAGAGGTACCACCATATGCACAGAACATGGTCCTTCAGCTGTTTTCTCTCTCCATCATTAAATCTCCTTACTTAGTAGAAAACAGCAGCTGGAAAATGAGTGGACACTGTCATTTGACTCAGAAACAGTGCAAAATTAATGCAGGCAGGACCTACAGCAATTTCACTGATGTCCTACATTAGTGCCATCTTCTCCAAGTCTTTTAAAAAGGCTAGAAGTAAACCATAATGTTGATAACAGACATAGCATCTTACTGTATTTATGAGGAAAGTTTTACATTTATGACCTTATATTTTTAAGTATCTACAGGGATTCTGTTTGAATGATCATTTTCTTTTGGGTGCTCCCTTTAGAAGTCCTAACAGAAGATCAGCATCATCTCACCCTAACTCTAGCATTCTCTTCTGCAACCATATCCTCCTTCACTACATCCATGAATCTTCTCTGTGCTCCATAGTCAACATTCTTCATCCAGTATATCCACCATCTCTCCTCTGCCCATGTCCAAACCATCTCAACCCTGCCTCTCTAACTTTGTCTCCAAAATGCTCAACCCTCTGATATAATCGTTTAATCCTGTTCATCCTGGTCATTCACAATGGAAAATATTTCAACTCAACCTCATTCAGTTTTACCTCCTTTCTTCTTAGTCCCACCATCTCCAAACTGCATCGTAGTAGGTCTCCCTGTGTTACAAATCACCCAACACTTATCTCCACCCTGCCTGCACTCTCTTCTTTTGCACTCTATTGCTTTGCAGGCTATTTAAAGCAGCTTCACTGCTCTACCAGTTCCCTTTTCTTCCACACACTTGGATTCTGTCTACTGACTTTCATCCCTCTTCTCTCCAGCGCATACCTCCACCTGTTCCCTACTTTCACTACAGATCAGTGCCATCTGTCAACCTCTCCATCATCACTGCAAACAAGAAAGGGTTCAGTCAATCCCTGACCTTGAACCTATCTGGCACTCTTACAGTCCTCCTACGTCCTTCACCAGCTTCACATAATCCTCTGACACTCCTCGTGCAGTACCACAGTGCCTCTCTTGGGCCCTTATATCCTTCTCTAGGTCCACAAAGACGCAGTGCTACTCCCTTCGACCTCTATACTTCTGTCAACACTCTCAAAGCAAACATATTTGTAGTGCGCTCTCTCAGCAGAATGCTGCTCACTCATCATTACCTCTCTTCATAACTTAGCTTTAACAACTCTTTCCCATTGCTTTGAGATATAATTCATCAGCTTTATCCCTCTGTGTTACAGCTCTGCACATCAGCCTTGTTCTGGAAAATCACTATAAGTAACTGATCATTAAGATAGTCTAAGGGGTATTGTAGTCAACATCTTGTTAAAATAAATGCTTGAAAACAGTTAAAATATCTAGAACTAGAAAAAAATAATCAGAAATGCTTTTTCTTGTAGTTAAAATGCGCATTTTGTCATTGTTTCTTAGAAATGTGTTAATAACTAGGACCTCTGTTTACATTTCACTGTTATTGTGCCTGCTACCAATATTAGAATAAGGAGCAATATTCAAGCAGGACTCTGTGAAATCAAACATCATCAGTGACAAACAGGAGAGGCGGCGGCCTGAGCAGTCATTATACACTGAGGAATACAAGTAAAGCAAACTAGCAGCTGTTCTCACCAGTTGCTTCATTAGATGTAATACATGTCCTGTCTGTAAATTGCACATCAGCTGTGTAAGATTAAAATATAAGCCTTACAACTGAACTCTACAGAATAAATGGTTTCAACTTACACTGTGTCCAGATTTAAAGAGTCTCATGAACAAAAACACATGAATAGATTCTGATTTCTCTGACTAGTGTTCTGTTAACTGGACAAACTTCTCAAGCAGCTTGTTTAGCTAGATTAATGCACCCTGGTGATGAGGTCTGAGTCACAGTTCATCATTAAGATGCATTGCTTTGGCACCTTGTGGAAGCTGGTACACATCCAGACATGCTTGAGCATTGCTTAGGTCGTTTCTGTGGGAAGGAAATCGCAGTGGAGACAATCTGCATAACTAATGACGTCACCAACCCTAAGGGACCAGCAAATCCTTGAATGGTGCAAATATGCAGAACCAGTTCAGGACTGGGCACTGGGTTAGTGGGAAAGGACCTGAGTTGTTGACTTGTATTCAGAGCTATATCTGGGATGTCTAAGTCAGACAGCACATGCAAGCTTGGTTAGCAAGCAGTTACTATTAAACATATCACTTCACAATACCTGCAACACAAACTTTTTACACCACACTGAAAGCCACAACAACTGTCTGATAATTCCATCAAAACGCTCCAACAGTCACCAACAGTGAGCGGACTGCAAATGGAAGCAGGCTTGCACAACAGCTTAAGCTTCGCTGTTCAAATGTATCCCACAACTTTTATAAACTATAGAGAAATAAAACTGTTTGTTGTACCAGGCTGTGAATGTGTCTTCTAATGCTGTTTAGTTGAGCATTTTACCATCAAACTCGATGACGACGGACTTGCAATAAGCTGACGTGGAGCTTCAGCAGTTGCAGGAACAACTTTTCCACTGTGGAGTGAGCTTTTAGTTTGAGAATGAACGCTCCAAATATGTGATGGATCCTGCAGAGAAACAAAACCCAGCCGGTTGTATCTGGTGGTGCTGGTATCAAGGTCAGCTGATTTCAGAGTATGTGGGACAGCCAGTAAAAACACTGCATTTTTGCAGCAATACACAAAAAGTCCTTTATTGTATTTTTTTTCCTTTTCACCTTTTTAATGATGGCAATTGATCATCTCTTTTTGTACAACAAAAGAACAGCTTTAAATGACTGATAACCCAAAGAAATGCAAACATATCAAATAAAGTCAAAACCAATTCTGGGTGTTGTTTAGCATTTTTGTTTCGCGCCTCTCCTCGGATTCCCATCTGCTCTCGGTTTGGTTTGAACTTGGCACAGAGGCGCGTCAGTCTAGTCCACTGCAGTGTTCTGGATTTCAGTTCAGCTGTTTCTGTCCAGATAGAGGTCTGCTCTTGGTGCTGGTCCTGGGTCTGATTCCTGGTCCGGTCGGCCCATCTGTCGGTCGGGGTCAGATGCGGGTGAGCTGGTGCCAGAGGCTGGATGGCAGGATGCTTTCCACCTTCTCCATGATAAAGTTCAGAGGAGCAAACAGTGTGCTGAGGAACTACAAAGAGACAAATACAGTCACACAAACAGAATGTTAACAGGGCAGCCAGCATCTTTTCCCTGAAACACACCACGCTGCATTCTGGCTGCAATGTGGCCACAGGAACTGACTGCATCCAATTCTACCAGATGGAACAAAACGGTATCGGAGACACGCAGCAGTGTATCGAGCCACCACTTTAAGCACTTTTTTTGTTATCTAATAAAAGCAATTTTACATAGGTGCTGCATCCCTCACAGAGCTGTGGTGTGTAGATGGAGTCAGGTTCATACTATCTAATAACATGTCTCCCTGACTGCTGTTTATAAATGGACAACTGATAGCAAGACTCCCAAATTAATTTATATTAATATTTGGTTTGTAGACAATGTGATATTTATCTGGATGGTTAATATAAACTTTGAATTGACATTTAAAAAAACAAAAAACATTTTAAAGAGTGCCTAAGTCGACAGGATAGGGTGGTGGCTGTGTATATCACCTGTACATAAAAGATGAACACTGCTTCTCAATGTTGCAGTACTGTCTAACAGTCAGCAGGGGGCACTCCCTTAACTTGTGACATCAACAAACACTTTCTTGATGACTTCCTGGTTTCAACTGGGGGTTTCAGTACAAGCTGAGCAAAACATGGAGGTAATTTTGTAAAATATGGACCACATTTGATAAAGACGGGAAAGGTCAGCAGCTGTCGATGGCAGGTCAAACTTTGACAAATAAGAAAAAGGCTGCATAACCGTGTGTCTGAATTATCTGAAGGTTTGGGGGATTTTCCTTTATTTTCAGCTGTGAGAACAAATAAACTTTCCACTTCTGCAGCATGAATCCTCCATCTGTGTACAGTGCAATTCAGGCCTCATTCTCAGATTGGCAGTCTGACAACAACTAGCAAGGAGGAGGTGAGGGGTGATAGGGGCTCCACCTGAGCAGCTCACGGAAGTTCCTACTGTCTTAGATGTCAGATAAAGGTCACGAAGAGGGTTTTTTTCTTTTGGGCGGGGGGGCAGAAAGAGACTCCACCTGCATGTGTGAGCTGGGCAGCTGGTGGTTTGAGGATTGCTTCACACATCAGATCTCACATCTCCATTTTAGCTTCAAAGAGCACTTCAAAGTAAATGTGTGTAGTAGTGTTTGAACAGTGTGGGCGGCAGGGAGAGACCTGTCCAAGACACCATGTTAGCATGAAGTTTTATTGGTCTAGGGAATCACTGGTGACTTATACGTTTAGCAGCTCTTGTGCTGCTTTTACATTCAGTCACAGTGGGAACCCGACTTATTTACCCAAGCAAGTTAATGTACTGATCATTTCATCTATTCAGATATTAAAATGAATCATTGAACAAATGTGGAATTTAAATATCGATCTATGAGATCAAAAAGTAAACGTAGCCAGTAGCTATGTATTCTCCTTGGAAGCCACCTGTTAAGTTTTTCTGGAGTCAACTTTAGTCGGAAAACATTCCAAAAACTGTTAGAAAGGCCTCATCTGTCCATTCAAGGTTCCCCATAAAACATCAAGTCTGCAGTAACCACCAGCATCTGTGATTAGCATTA